TGATTTTGAGATCGAGTCCTGGGTCTGCGGGGCCTCCGGGCCGCACTGGCAGCGGGTGAAGGCGCCTGGAGCCTTTGGAAAATCTCCCGGGGCCCTGCGAGCCCAGCCCTCGTGGGGCAGGTTCTCCCAGGCAAACTGCTGCATCCTTACTACTACAGAGTCCTGGGTCTGCGGGGCCTCCGGGCCGCACTGGCAGCGGGTGAAGGCGCCTGGAGCCTTTGGAAAATCTCCCGGGGCCCTGCGAGCCCAGCCCTCGTGGGGCAGGTTCTCCCAGGCAAACTGCTGCATCCTTACTACTACAGATCGAACTAGATCACACACCACAGCAATACACCATCGCTGTGCACACGCGGGCACCCACCCCCGAGACTCAGCACCCACAGCCAGCAGGGCTGCCCCAGGTGGTGCACAAGCCTCAGTGCACACCCAAAACTTTATTCTGCACAGGGCTGGCAAAGCAGGAGGGAACCTTGCCAGGCAGCCCCAAGGCAGAGGAACCGACACACCAGTGCAGGCTGCCGGCGGGGGCACCAGAAAGTCCTGACATTTTGGGTTCGTTTCCTTGGACTTTTGGTTCGGAGCCTTTGGGGTGCGTTAGTACTCCCCCTTCTGCTGTTACCTCCCCCCAAAGAATCCGTGTCTAAAAGGGCTGAGGACCCAGAATGTAGAAAATTGTGTCTGCTGCTGGTGCATCTGTATTCTCTCTGCTCTAGATGCCCAGAGATGGCAGAGTGCTGTGCTGGAGGAAGGAGGGCAGAATTGAGACCTTTCAAAGTTTTGGCCCAAGCGAGGAGGCACGGGGGCGTAATTTGAGCTCCCCACCTCAGGTGCCAAAATGTCGCGGGCCGGCCCTGGTGGTGCCATCTGAAAACTACTGCGCTGGAGCTGCAGAAATGGGATTGCTCACACCCGCACACACCTGTAACAGAAACAGTGTTAAAATCCGTATCTCCAGAAGTAATCCCCATGCTGCCACCATTGGAGCCAGTCACCTTCTCCGTCTGCTCCCAAGCCATGCTTTGATGTCGGAGCCAGGAGTGTTTTACGACGTTTCGGGGATCGTTCTGACGCGCTGAGGGTTTGGCATTGCCAAAAGCTCCCGTTTCTTTTTTAACGCAGCACTAGAACTGCCCCCAGGCTCTGCATCCCCTGGAGAGAAATGGGGCTGATGGTGTTGCTGCTGCCGCCCCCGCACGGCCCAGTCCCTGTTCCCGACATGTGGCCCCAGCATAGTGGCCTGGACAGCCGGGGGTACTGGGCAGAGCTTTTAAGCCCCAGCTTGGGCACTCTGGTCCTGAAGCAAAGGGGCCTGTTTCCACAGCGGCACTCAAGGAAAGAGTCAAACGGCCAACTGGCCGGTGGCTCCCTACCACAGCCGGGCCCTGACCCCCTCCCTCTGAATTCCCAGCAACCTTAAAATCAGGAAGCTCTTCTCATTACAAAGAAAAATGCTTCCTGCAAATGGATGTTGCCCAAGCTGGACACGAGTCGGCCTCCTGCGGCGCCCTGCCCCGCCATGTGTCTGTGCCCAAGGATCAGTCCTCCCCTCCCTCCCAGTGCTCCCCCAGGCCTCCAACCAGCTGTTTGGCTCCAGGAGGGAGGCAGAGGGGCGGGGATGGGCACACTCAGGGCAGGGGTGGAAAGAGGCAGGTAGAGGCTTGGGAAGGAGCCGGGCAGAGGCTGGGGAGAGGGGTGGAGGCCCCCCGTCAGTGCCTGGATTCACTTGCTGCCTGCACGTTCGGGTAAAGAATCCGTAGGCGCCTGCTGCCTTCCCCTAGGTACCGGGTGGCCCCGCGGCCCGTCACACACTGATGCCTGGTAGGTGCGCTCAGAGCTGGCCTGGGCCCCGTTCCAAATCCGGCCAGACGGCTGCAGTAGCACCAGCCCCTCTCCAGCTCCTAGCTCCCAGGTCAGCCCGCTTGGCGGAGGGGCAAGGCCTGGCTGCATGGGCCCAGCGAGCCGAGGGGGCCAGCTCTGCGCTGGCGGAAGGGCCGGGGACTGCGCTGACCCCGCTCACAGCTCCGCCAGGCTCTGCAAAGGCTCCGTTTATTCACTCCAAGAACACTGTACAGATATTCCAGGCCGCTTCCCTTCGCCGCCACGTGTATAAAAATAATCTTTATATACCCATCCAAGTTCCTTTGCCCGCCTGCAACGCAGGGCCAGGCCGCACAGCGCTCGCCACACAGAGGTCCGGGCATCGAGGCTGAAGCACACGCAGGCCCCCCCCCGTTCCAAGCAGCGCCCAGGCCAGAGGGAAGAGGTGGAGAAACTGGCACAGGTGGGTTTGGAGTCTGGGAGCTTCCTCTCCCCCCCAGTCCTGGCCCCCGCCCGCTGGGGGAACGCAGCCCCCTCACCCTGGCAGCTCCCAGAGGGGGTTCAACGCTT